GGGAGGGAGGGCAATAGCACTTAGACCTGCAATACTGCATCCCTGGATGGATGGATGGATGGATGGATGGAAGGAAGGGAAGAAAGGGAGGGAGGGAGGGAAGGAAGGAAGGGAAGAAAGGGAGGGAGGGAAGGAAGGAAGGGCAATAGCACTTAGACCTGCAATACTGCATCCCTGGATGGATGGATGGAAGGAAGAAAGGGAGGGAAGGAAAGGAAGGAAGGGCAATAGCACTTACACTTATACAGCTTTACAGCCCTCTCTAAGCGGTTTACAGCCTCTTGCCCCCAACAATCTGGGTCCTCATTTTACTGACCTTGGAAGGAAGGAAGGCTGAGTCAACCTTGAGCCTGGTGCCAAATTGCAGGCAGCCGGCAGTCAGCAGAAGGAGCCTGCAGTGCTACACGCTCGAATCCACTGCGCCACCGAGGCCAGTTTATATACAATGGGGGCCAGGTTCATGCCAAGCCACACAACCCCCATAGTTGTCAACCTGCAATAGCTGCGTTCCCACCGAGATCAAATGGTGGGGGGGATGTTGCAGGTGGAATGAATTCAAAAGTTTGTGGTTCTCCACTAGGTGTCAAATTGGACCTGAAAGCCCCTAGATAACCGGCTCCAAATGGATTGGCGGGTGTGGGAATCCCCCTCTTACGACTTTCTCTGTGCTTCCTCTTCCCCCGTCCTTTCAGGAGCAGAAATTCTGCCAGCGGTATGACCAGCTGATGGAAGCCTGGGAGAAGAAGGTGGAACGCATTGAAAACAACCCCCGGCGTCGAGCTAAAGAGAGCAGAGTCCGCGAATATTATGAGAAACAGTTCCCTGAGATCAGAAAGCAGAGAGAACTTCAGGAACGCATGCAAAGGTTGGCTGGGGCTCTGTTTAGGGCAAGGGCCTTCAAACTTGGCAAGTTTAGGACGCGTGGACTTCAACTCCCAGAATTCCTGAGCTAACAGGACTGGAGGAGGAGGAGGAATTCTGGGAGTTAACACTTCACAAGCTTCTTAAAGTTGTCAAGTTTGAAGAGCCCTGATTTATGGTCTCCGAGGTAGGACAAGTTGTGGCCAGGAGATTCCCTAGAGGAAACCTTTGTTCGTTCCCTGGGACCCAAATCCAGCCGTCTACCCCAAGCTAGTGTACAGTCCTCTCTTCTGCCTGGTTAGGAGCTTTGAAGAGAGAAGTAGAGGACAATCTCAAACCATCTCAGTGACTTTACATAGGACGGAGACACAAAGGACAAAATCCCCTCCAGGTGTTGCTGTCAAATGGCAATTTTTAAGGCGAAAGGAGGATCGGTAAATATATGCACAGGGAAGGGTGTAGCTTGCTGAAATGCAGGTGAATGAGTTGGCTTGCATTGGAGTTGAGCTTCCAATTGAGTTGGAGTTGCACCAGGCGAGGGGTCTCCTCACTCACTCATTTCTTCAGGCAGAAGCCCCCTCCCAGTAACTGTCCATGACGATTCTCAGTTCTCCGGGTTTCATGGTTGTCCCAAAGGAGCTTTTTTTCAGAGGCCACTGGACTTCCTGGTTTGTTCTTGAAGACGTTTCGCTTCTTCGGCTCTGACTGGAGGGTGGTGAGTGGAAGGATTTATATTCCTTGCCAACAGCCGGTCGTTTGCATCCTTTTGGAGGGTCGTTGAGCCTACCTGGAGGTTTGTGTCCCCAGGGTCCCCTGAGTGGCACCAAAGGGTGTGGAGCCTTCTTGGAACTGCTGTATGGCTCCACATCCATTTGCACCACTCAGGTGACCCCGAGGACACCTGGGACAAACCTCCAAGCGGCCTCAACAACCCTTGAAAAGGATGCAAATGACCAGCGAGGAGTAAAAAAAACCCTTCCATTCCCCACCATCCAGTCAGAGCTGAAGAAGCTTCACGGATGAGAAGTGAAACCAGAAAATCCAGTTGCCTCCTGAAAAAAAAAACACCTTTGGGACACCCTCCCAGTCACTTTTTTTTTTTTTGGAGTGTGTGGCTTCTCAAGAGCGCTTGTGGGCCAGCAAAACACGTGTGTGGTGCCAAAAAAAAAGCCCCAAACACTTGGACAAAGTCACATTCAGCTAAATCTTGGCAGGGAAGATCAAACTGAATCCCTAGAAGGCCTGCCTTTGACTCATGGGGTCCTGCTCCTACACCCACCCCACCCCCCCATGGTCTACTGTTCCACCCCCCTCCAACCCTCTGCCTTTCCCGGTACTGATCTCTCTTCCTCTTTCTTGGCCCCCGGGGGGGGGGTTGCCATTCGGAGGCCATGGCCAACCAAGCAACAGAAGGTCCCTCTTTCAGCAATTTTTTCCTCTGCCGTTTCTCAGCAGGGGAGGGCAAAGAGGCAGCGGATTCTCTATGTCGGCGGCACGCAGCGAACATGAGGTGTCGGAAATTATCGACGGGCTCTCGGAACAAGAGGTGAGGCCGGGGTCAACCGTTATTCTTTGGCTCCTCTCCTTCTCGGCACTCCTCTCCTTCTTCTGGGGGAGAGTTGGCTCCACCACAGCTCCGGAGACAGGAAGTGGGGGGGTTCAGGCTTGTTGCCAAATTGCGTTAACCTCAGCCCAGCCGATCCTGTCTGGTGCTGACTGATCTCTGGATGGGGGTTGGACCAAGAGTTTTGCTGCACCGTCCTTGGGGTGCTCTTTATCTCTTGCTTTGGAGGCCCTGTTAGCAATCGCCATAGCCCTTAGACTTCCATGCCACTTCGCGGCGCTTTCTAGCCCTTCTCTCAGCGGTTTACAGAGTCGGCTTCTTGTCCCCAACCATCTGGGTCCTCGTTTTACCCACCTGGGAAGGATGGAAGGTTGAGTCAAGCTTGAGCCGGTCAGGATCGAATTCCTGGTAGTGGGCAGAGTTATGGAAGGAAGGAAGGAGGGAGGAAGGAAGGAAGGACAATAACACTAGCAATAACCCTTAGACTTATATACTGCTTCACAGTGCTTTCCAGCACCTCTAAGCAGTTTACAGAGTCAGCATATTTCCCCCAACAATGTGGTACTCCACATTTTACCCACCTCAGAAGGAGGAAGGCTGAATCAACCTTGAAGCAGTCAGGATTGAACTCATGGCAGTGGGCAGAGTTATGGAAGGAAGGAAGGAGGGAGGGAGGGAGGAAGGAAGGAAGGACAATAACACTAGCAATAACCCTTAGACTTATATACTGCTTCACGGTGCTTTCCAGCACCTCTAAGCAGTTTACAGAGTCAGCATATTTCCCCCAACAATGTGGTACTCCACATTTTACCCACCTCAGAAGGAGGAAGGCTGAGTCAACCTTGAAGCAGCAGGATTGAACTCATGGCAGTGGGCAGAGTTATGGAAGGAAGGAAGAGAGGAAGGGAAGGGAGGAAGGAAGGAAGGAAGGAAGGAAGGAAGGAAGGGGAAAAGGAAGAGCAATAGCAATAGCCTTTAGACTTATATCCCACTTCATAGTGCTTTACAGCCCTTTCTAGGTGGTTTACAGAGTCCTCCTCTTGCCCCCAACAATCTGGGTCCTCATTTTACGGACCTTGGAAAGATGGAAGGCTGAGTCAACCTTGAGCCTGGTGAGATTTGAACTGCCGAATTTCAAGCAGCCGGCAGTCAGCAGAAGTCGCCTGCAGTGCTGCACTCTAACCACTGCGCCATCGTGGCTCACCACCAACCAGGAGCATTCGATGATTTAACTTTTTGAAAGACCTCCCCATTCATTTGCCAGTCGGCCTTTGTAAGAGGGAGGCCTGAAGCCAACTGGGTCCTCTTGACCTAGGAAAAACCCAGGTGGAGCTACGTTCTCCAATGTTTCCTGTTTCAATACCGGTGGTTGGCATGATCAACATTTGGCTGCTTCCTCTCAAGGCCCTTTTGTTCCTCTCTTCTCTACCAGAATCTGGAGAAACAGATGCGCCAGCTTGCCGTCATTCCACCGATGCTGTACGACGCAGAGCAGCAGCGCATCAAGTTCATCAACATGAACGGCCTGATGGACGACCCCATGAAGGTCTACAAGGACCGGCAGGTGATGAACATGTGGAGTGAGCAGGAGAAGGAGACCTTCCGAGAGAAGTGAGTGGCACGCAATGCCTCGGGTGTCCTGGAGGGGGCAGGCTAAGAGGGGGGGGGAGAGGTCTTCACTCCCAGGAGGAGTTGAGGGGGACACACCTGTGGGCAGCTTCACGTCCCTTCCTGGTTTGGAAGTCATCAGATTAGCCAAGTTGGAAGGGACCTTGGAGGACAACTAGTCCAACCTCCCGCCCAAGCAGGAGACCCTCCCTCTGAGGGCGAACCTATGCCACACGAGCCCCAGGCAGACTTACCTCACTGCGCATGCGCGCCTCACAGCTGATTTTTGCCCCTTTGAGGCCTTTTTCGGCTCGAGAGAAGCCTCTGCAGCTTTTGAGGGCCGAAAAAAGGGCCCATTTCGTCACGTCCTGTATTTCTGGAAATACCAGAAGCGATGAAACAGACCCGTTTTTTTGGCCTCCAAAGGCTGCAGAGGCTTCCCTCGAGCCCCTGGGAGGCTGAAAAAGGCCTCAAACTGGGCAAAAATCAACTGGGAGGCGCACACAGTGCAGGTAAAGGGGGCGGGGGAAGGCATCGTGTATGTATGCGCGAGAGGCGTGGGAGGGCTGCGCACATTGCCTTCTGGCTGCTGGCACGTGAGCACAAGCGCACACAATTTTCGGCACAGGAGCCCAAAAAGGTTAGCCACCACTGCCCTACACCATTTCTGACAGAAGGCAGTCCAGTCTCTTCTTGAAAGCCTCCAGTGGTGATGAAGCTCCCACAACTTCCGAGGGCAACTTCTGTCCCATGGGTTGATGGTTCTCACCGTCAGAAAATTTCTCCTTATTTTCAGGTTGAATGTCTTCCTTGTTCAGTTTCCATCCATTGTTCCTTGTCTGGCCTTCAGGGGCTTTGGAAAACAACTTGACCCCCTTCCTCCTCTCTGGGGCAGCCCCTCAAATATTGGAAGGCTGCTCTCATGTCTTCCCTGGTCCTTCTTTTCACTGGACTAGCCATGCCCGGTTCCTGCAACCATTCATTGTACGTTTTAGCCTCCGTTATCATCGTAGATAGATTCAGATTAACAGAGTTGGAAGGGACCTTGTAGGTCATCTAGTCCAACCCCCTGCCCAAGCAGGAGACCCTACACCATTTCTGACAGATGGCAGTCCAGTCTCTTCCTGAAAGCCTCCAGTGATGAAGCTCCCACAATTTCCAAAGGCAACTTCTGTTCTACTGGTTGATTGTTCTCACTGTCAGAAAATACCTCCTTATTTCTAGGTTGAATCACAGATTCATTTAACAACTGGGTTACTAACGTATCAACCACAGTGATTCACTTAACAACAGTGGCAGGAAAGGTCGTAAAACAGGGTAAAACTCACTTCAATGTCTCACTTAACAACAGGAATTTTAGGCTCAATCGTTGTGTAAGTTGAGGACTACCTGCATCTGTGGCATACCGGTAGTCCTCACTTAGCAACCGTTGGAAGTTATAATGGACCTCCCAAATGCTACTTACGACCCAGTTCTGGAGTTCTGACAGCTCCCCACATGGTCACCTGATCCCCTAACTCTTGTTACCACTGGCAGCAATTCACAGTCATTTGACTGCAATTTACAACAATTTTTGGCGGCTTCTCAGCTTTTCCGCTGGTTTCGAACAAAAAAAACCCATGGATTCACTTAATGACCATTTTCACTTAGTGACCACAGCATTCACTTAATGACCATCACAAAAAAAAGTTATAAAAATCAGGTCCAGTCTTATGGGTGACTCTTAATTGCAAGCATTATGATAGTGGAAATGCTGGCCTCCATTTTGGTCGCAAGACAAGGACTACCTGAACAGAGTATCTGTAGGACCCCCTCTGCTGTGTATCAGTTCCAGCCCAGCTTTTGCTTCTGATCAATCATCATCATTTAACAACCCCATAATCCCTTGCGGGGTGGAGTCTGGGCAACTGAATGGAGCTAGCGGAGTATTTGAATGGCCAGATGCCCTTCCTGTCACCAATACGGAGTTATATTCGGCAAATATATTCTCATTGTGCCCAGAAAGAGAGAAATATCTGCCTTTACTGAGGATCGAACTCACAGCCTCCTGATTGTGAGGCGAGAGCTCCTCCTCTAGGCCACCGCACCACTCCCTGGCTCTTGCTTCGGATGGTGATGTAGAAAGAGGCAAGAGTTGGTTTCTCCAACCAGATATCTTCATGGTCAGTTTCTTAATCGTTCCTTTGGTTCTTCTTCTTGCAGGTTCATGCAACATCCAAAGAATTTTGGTCTTATCGCCTCCTTCCTGGACAGGAAAGTAAGTGGATATTTCTTTCGATCCTTTCTCACAATTTCCTTTTTGTGAAAGCACCTATCAACTCATAAAACATTCCTATGCCTGTTTTAATAGTTGCCATAAAAAAAAGAGGAGGGGGGGAAAGGAAGGAAATCTGGAAGAGCAAATGCAGCGGTTTGAAAGCGGAAGTACATTCCAACTCATATCTTTAAAAGGTTGTAACTAAACTACCAGAGCTTTTGCCTGCAAATATATTTAATTGGGGAACGTGATTGATGACACCCAGCCAATGAACGTGCTCAGTTGGAGAATCTGCTTTATGACACACCTGGGGGGAGAGAGGGAAACAGGGTCACAGGGGACTGTAAATGACATATGCAAGAGTTGGCTTCATATAGGGCAGTGCCAGTATGTCGCCTCTAAAAAAAATCTTTGGAAGTTTTTTGAAGTTTGGTTCAAGGATCATGATTTAATTAGGGCAATTGCTGGAATCCTGACAGCACACTCATCCTACAAGCTAGAGCAGGGGTGGGCAACCTTAAAACACTCAAAAGAGCCACAAAGATCCTAACCAGAAGGGACCCTTCCCCCACCAATTCAGTTCTGGAGCCGACCAGATTCTATGGTGGTTCTCCCCACCATAGAGTCTCCTCCTAGAGTGGTGTCCTTTTTCCTCTACTTGTCCTAACCAAAAGCCCTATGAATTGTGGAGCTGACTGGCAACAGGGAGCCGCAGCAGAGGGATGAAAGAGCCACCTGCGGCTCCAGAGCCACAGGTGGCCGACCCCTGAGCTAGGCCTTCTGTGAAGAAGCTGTTAGAACTTCTTGGTTGCCTCTCCAAGTTGCACTTATCAAAACAGCGACCCAACTGCAAACTTCAAGGGGGCAACTTCCCAAGGTCCCCTCTAAAGCCAGAACCCTTGCCCGGGATAGCTATTTCCAAGGAACCTCTGAGGAAAGCGGTCCATCCCTCTTCTAAGAGTTGGCCATCCTGGTTGCCGATCGTCTTGTGCAAGGGTCTTCAAACTTGGCAAAGTTTAAGACAAGTGGACTTCAACTCCCAGAATTCTTGAGCTAACATGACCGGAGGAGGAATTCTGGGAGTTGGAAGTCCACAAGTCTTAAAGCTGTCAAGTTGGAAGACTCCTGGTCTTGTGGGTTGTGGTGCTTTGGAAAGGAACAGACACACCTCAGTGACATCAGAAGGTTTATATCGTATTATCCAAAGTGTGCTTCCCTCCCATGTCTGTACCAAGCACCACCAACGTGTGTGTGTGTGTGTGTTTTCCTTTTCCTAGACAGTTGCGGATTGTGTCCTCTACTACTATTTGACCAAGAAGAACGAGAACTACAAGAACTTGGTGAGAAGGAATTACCGCCGGCGAGGAAAGAACCAGGTAAGGAAACCCAGTGGGGGAAGCTGGAAGTGTCTAAGGCAGGGGTCTTCAAACTTGACACCTTTAAGACTCGTGGACTTCAACTCCCAGAATTCCTCCTCCAGTCATGTTAGCTCAGGAATTCTGGAAGTCCACAAGTCTTAAAGCTGTCAAGTTGGAAGACCCCTGGTCTAAGGACTTGGTGAGATCAAGCGGCAGCATCTGGTAGGGCTGTGGGCCTCGGTTCTAGGTTCTAGAGAGGCTGCCACCAAGAAAAGGGGGTCAAGCTATTCTCCAAAGCACTATCCTCCCAGGGGGCAGGACAAGAGATAATGGATGGAAACTCATCAAGGAGAGAAGCAACCTGGAATTAAGGAGAAATTTCCTAAAAGTGAGGACAATTAACCAGTGGAACAGAAGTTGCCTTCAGAAATTGTGGGCGCTCCATCATTGGAGGTTTTTAAGAAGAGACTGGACAGTCCCTTATCTGAAATGGTAGAGGGTCTCCTGTTTGGGCAGGGGACTGGACTAGAAGACCTCCAAGATCCCTTCCCGCTCTACTTTATTCTAAATTCTAGTAGACCTGGCCCACCAAGTAATGTTTCCTCTCTGGATTTTCTGGTGCTCCCCTGTGAACTGCACTGCTAGTCTACAAAGGTAAGCTTGGTTTACAGGCTAGGACAATCCGAGTTTAAGGGCAACCTTGAGCCTGGTGAGATTTGAACTGCCGAATTTCAAGCAGCCGGCAGTCAGCAGAAGTAGCCTGCAGTGCTGCACTCTAACCACCGTGGTTCACCACCAACCACCAACCAGGAGCATTCGATGATTTAACTTTTTGAAAGACCTCCCCATTCATTTGCCAGTCGGCCTTTGTAAGAGGGAGGCCTGAAGCCAACTGGATCCTCTTGACCTAGGAAAAACCCAGGTGGAGCTACGTTCTCCAATGTTTCCTGTTTCAATACAGGTGGTTGGGATGATCAACACTTGGCTGGATGAAGCCAAAGGCTTGTCAAATCCAACCCACCTGGGCAGCCAGATTTTTCCAAGAAGTCCACCAGCAGGCAATATGGACTGTGGTCCCCTCCTTTGCCATAGTTCTCCAAGGTGGACTTCCTCAAGATCTGGAGATTCCCATCACTCTTACATTTTTACTCTTACATCATTATCAGAGTTGGAAGGGACCTTGTAGGTCACCTAATCCTATTTGTATTATTTCTGTTCTGTTTCTATTCTTTCTATTGTATTCTATTTCTAGTCTACTCCTCTTCTCCACCTTGGTCTGTGAGATCTTTTCATCAGAAGTGCCTCACACCTTTCTCAGTCCCACTTTTAGGAACCCACAACGAATATTTTGCCACTGATTTGCTGTATTTTCTCCAGAGGCCAGGGGTGCAAACCTCTAGATCAGGATTTTTCCACGCATGCTGTGTAGAACTTCATAAATCTCCATTATTCCTGAAGAAATTAAACAGGGAAGAACCCAACCAAATTCTGGTCAAAGTTCTGCCTTTTTTTCCACTTTCCCAATGCACCTTTAAGGACAACCTAGTTTGTCCTAGTTTTGCCTCTTGATCAGGACGTGTGCAACTTAAAAAAAGAGGGTAAAATTCCATTCTGGATATGATTGAATGATACCTTCAGTGCGTTTGTTTAGCACGGTGAAGGATGAATTTGTTGAGTGTTAAAAAAAAGATCAATATTAAAGGGAAATCCCTGTTTAGCAGAAAAACAGCTGGGGAATTCAGATTTGTGATTCTTCCTGTTTATTCCTGGAACTGACTTATTATTTTCGGAGCTCCAGAGCTGGTTTATTTAGTCTGGGATGTTTTTGTTAGGGTGCCAGATTTTGCTACAGTAATTCACTTTTTTTTAGCCATTTTTGACATAAGAATGCAAAGAGATTAAGTGAGAGATCATAGTATTGCTTGGAGAACAGAGACGAAAAACCAGGAATTAGCACGGGGAAA